TTTCCCGGCCGGCAGCCGCCGCAGGGCAGTTTGGGTGCAGCCCGCTCCCCTGGGCAGCGGCTCCTGCGGCAACGACAGAGCAGCCTCCGTGCATCTGCAGGTCTGTCCCACGGCACGCCGGGTACGGCTCACGTCGGATCGATGTACCGACTGCTGCTGCTCCAGCTGCCCATCTGATCTGACAGCAGCTATTTTGGGTGGCGCAGCTCCTCCCGCCGCAGCGAGCGGCAGCCAGGTTATGCGCTCGGATGCATATTCTTGCATTTAGAATGAGGGTCACTCATAACCGGTGGTTTGTTGTTCTGTGTTTTTTTTTTCTAAGGACGTGCGTGAATTCTGCCATATGAAAAGTGACAGCCTGAAAGCCCTGAAGGCTGCAGCCCTCAATTTAAGCCACAGTCATGGATGGGATGACCAGCAATCAGTGCAGATGTCAGCCTCAAAGCCTGCCTTCACCCATGTTATTTCCCCTGCAGAATCTCTAGAGGGGGGAGGAAAAGGCCTTTGGGTGTTCACCGGGCCCATGGCAAAAGCCAGTTAAGGTGAAGCACCAGGAATGGGGATCCTAAGCAGGGAACAGCAGCAGGACCTCACCAGCTCACATCACACCCATCATCTTGTGTGAGATTTTGGCAGAATCAGCAGCGCGATGCAAACCTTGCTGCCCATACCCTGGCTGTGTGTGCTCAACAACCCACGCTCCCTCGCTTCCCCACTCCCCCTCGCTCCCCACCGTCTCCAGCCCCTCCGTGCCACACTTGCCAGCGCGATGGCGTGCAAACAGACTCCCCCTCCCTCCCCTCACCCACGCACAGCTTTTCTCGCCGAGCACCAACACCCACTGCCGAGCGGGGAGCAGGACTCTGCCAATTTCGAGATATCTCCTGCCTCCTTTCCCCTTCCTGCCATTCCCCATCTCTGGAGCAGTTGAAAAGAGGGGGCCTCTGATCGACTGTAAAGCACCACCAGCAAGGAAGCATGAAAAAACCACCCCAAAGCTTTAAGGACCTTTCCATGAGATGAACAACTTAATCTCGCTTACTTTAAAAAGAGCTTTGACCACCACTGATCTCAGCC